CCCCTACCTTCTCTCTTCAAGTTGGGCAGAAAACACTGAAGGTCTTACGCGCGACCTCGAAAAAAACTCATCGTGCCGTTGGCTATAATCCCATTTGTCTTCGGCGCATCAAGGATTATGCCGAACCGCCTGTTAAGAAACAGAAAACGACTTCTGATCAAAGACCTGCAGGCCCGAAACGGGCAGTAATGAAAGAGCGCAAGCTGAAAGATCTTGGGGGTATGCTGCAGGACTTTCTCTAGCTGGAGTGGATACACGTGATGGATGATGGATGATGTCACTTGCAGGAGACAGGCGCATGAGATCTCTCTGGCTCGTATGTACCTGTACGGCTGCAAGCGTGCGGGTGCCTGGTGATCGCGCAAATGATCTGCATGTACTCCGTACTTCTTTGGCTTTCAAGGCTTCATTCAGCTTCCTGTGAGCTCACTGTCCATGGAAGTATAACATTGATGCCCCAGGCCTCCGTCGGACTGAAGATACAATGACGCTGGTATGACCAGCGGGAAGACGCTAATTGGCTGACAGCCGCCGCCTCCCCGCGCTACTCCCGACCGGTTGACGCCAGTTGTTCCCCGCCTTGTGATTGTGACTCGATTCAATGACTCCATCGTCCCCAGTCGTCGATTTCCTTTCTTTTCTTTTCTGACTGTGCGTCTTGGCTTATCGCCCGTTAACAGGCTATTTTGATATCTGATCTCTGATTCGCTTTCTCCGTTGCTGTCTCCAGCAGGAGTACTGTAACTTACCTAGTAGTACCTACTGCATCTCACTCGAAAGTTGGGCATCGCCTGCCTCCGAGCTCCCCTTACTGGTTTACCACTCTTCGACCACACCCCACGATGGCCGACTATCCTGTAGATGCGGCGGCGGAGAATGATTCCAGTGGATCGAATATCGCATCGCCCCGCTCCAGCACAGATTCCCGGACTACTTCTGTGGGCAACCGATCTCTCCGACTTTCATCTCACACGTCCGGTCACCAGCACCGCCAAAGCATGAGCGAGAGCCTTCGCGGAACTCCTGGGTCTCCGAGGGCTCGACGACAACCGTCACTCACCCAGTCCGCCATCCAGAGCCTCATTGATAATCCTCCGGCTCCAAGCAATGTCAACTCTGCATTCGCCGGTCGGGACTGGCGGGAAATCCAGATTGGCGAGCTTGTCAGTCCCAACGACTTGAAATTCGTGGAGGTCGATACCGGGATTGAAGAAGCGACGAATGTAAGCGGCCAGGAAACACTTCTATCGGTTTACTTTTTTTTTTCTTTTCGTTTTTCTTATCACAAAGGCTGACAAGCATAGATCTTGATCGATACCGCAGCTCCGGTGCTCCTGATTCGAGAAACGCCTGACCAGAAGTCTGCCGTGGGCACTTTCGACTACTCCGATCTCAATGCATACCTTCTGTTGGCGGCAGGACTGACGCAACCCGATGAAACGTTATTGGCATCGTACGAAGAACTAGCCCGAAAGGCGAAACAGGGCATCAAGATTCCGCTGAAGGATGTGAAGGATTTGGGAAGGAAAGAACCGCTGACAACGCTGCCTGCCTCGGCCAACGTGATGACGGCCGTGCAGACTTTCGGAGGAGGCGTGCACCGCGTTGTGGTAGTCGATGAACAAAAGGAAAGGGAGGTGGTGGGCATCTTCAGTCAGTACCGGTTGGTCAAGTTTCTCTGGGAGAACGGACGTAGCTTCCCGGTGATTGACCAGCTCTATCCCCAATCCTTGCATGAGCTGGGAATTGGTTCGCGCGAGGTCATCTCAATCAAGTATGTTCCATTGTCAGATGCAGATGCGAGTGATACGTACTGACATTTTCGTTGCAGTGGGGACCGGCCGCTCTGCGAAGCCCTTCAGGTCATGAATGACGAGGGGGTTTCATCAATCGCCGTGGTGGACAACCATTTCAATGTGGTGGGCAACATCTCAACAACCGATGTTAAGGTATGTTTCACTGTCCTCGAATAGCACAAGCGTCGCTGACATCGATAGCTACTCACCCGGTCGTCCTCACTCCCACTACTGCGCAACACCTGCACACATTTCATTTCCGTTATTCTGTCTACACGTGGCCTGGAAGAGGGCAAGGACTCATTCCCAGTGTTCCACGTAAACCCGACCTCGACTCTAGCACATACCGTGGCCAAAGTGGTTGCGACCAAGTCTCACCGGTACGTTTAGTAGTATCTGCTCCAGATAGTGCCCGGCCTGACTATGAATCATGATACAGCCTGTGGGTCACCGATCCCCTGTCGCCCGCCTCGTCAGGGCCCCCGACCCCATCTCATTCATCCGTGCACATTCCTCTTCCGACGACTACGCAATCTCCGCCGCAGACCCCCGCGATCGGCAGTAATCCGAGCCTACAGGCCCCGAATTTCAGCTCTGCGCACTTGCCAAGCCCGCCCCAGTCGTTCCTCGGCGCGACAACCATGGTGCCATCGATCCCTGCGTCAGCTCTGCCGGGGGCACGGCTATCGGGACGCCTGGTGGGGGTGGTGAGTTTGACGGATATTCTGAACCTGCAGGCCCGGGCGAGCGGGCTCAGTCCGGCCGATCCAGCGGAGAGTCGGAGTCGACGTCGCCGGAGCAGCAGCTCGAGTGTAAGTGTGCGACGCAGTGGGGAGATTGGACGGGAGCTGTTCAGTGGGAGGATTGTATAGGTGAGTACGACGGGATGCAGATGCAACTAAGACAGGCATTGGCTTCACTTCATCATTTGTTTCCAATCAGCTTAACCACCATCAAGTGACATTACATACACGGATAGCCATCCGAATAACTGGATCATATTTACCCCTATTGCACGCATGTAGCCGAGAATACGTTACTGAAACCCATCGGTCCTTGCCCTTAGACACCCGAGGTAGCGGAAATCGCCTCCCACTCACCATCAAGCCATCCATAAACACCTACAGTATAGTACCTAGCTAGCTAGACTCCATTAGAAATCTCCGACAAAGCTCCGAAAGAGTATACCCTGGAACCGGGGAGGGGAGAGGTGGGGAGGGGGGGGGGCAACCAGAAGTACTGCCCGAATCCTCCCATCCCAGCGCATCCCTTCACCCTCGGCAATCGAACAGCAATCGGCAGTAATCAAACAACATGAAGAACAAGAACAAGAACGAAAAGTCCCCATGGCAAAATAGGTCAGACACCATTCCCTACCGTACCTTAGAACCTTAGCACCTTCGCCTCTAAGCCTGAGTATCAATGCGTGTGCATGTGCATGTGACAGCCAGTGTACGACGATCGATCGATCGATCAATCCAACCATCCACCCAAAACAAACAGTCAATCAATCAATCAGTCAGCTGTCGGCCATCCCCGAGCAAAAGTCTCTTTTAACTGGCGAGCGAGTGAGCATCTCCGGCTTCTCAATATTTGGGACAATCTGAGCGAGCGAGCAAGCGAGCAAGCGAGCAGCAAGAGACAGATGATAGAGTTTCAGGGTTATCCGTGGGAAACGATCAATCGATAAATCCTCCTCCTGCACCTCCTCCCGTGTTTCCCTTCCCCCCCTCCCCGCCGGCGGCGGCAAATCCACTTTTTATTTTGGGTTACTACATGTAATGTAGGTAGGTCGCCTCCAGATCCTCGGTAGGTAGCTTGGTGGGTTAGGAAGGGATGGGCTGGGGTTGGTTGTTCGGGGTTTGGACGGAGAGAGAGAGTTAGTGAGAGGGGTTTACGTGGGACGGGATAGGAAGGTAAAGGAGTGTCTGTGTGTTCTATCCAGTACATCAATGTACAGTACGGTGTTTGCTGGTGGTGGTGGTGGTGGCGAAGTCAGGGGATTTTGTTTTTAGGTGTTGCTCGGGGTGAATATCGGGGATGAATGTTCAGAAGAGGGGGTTGTATACGAGGTATGATCGAATAGGTAGGTAGGTAGACTGGCAGAGAGGGGGGGAGGGATTGTTCGGGGATAGAGATAGGAAGCGAGAGAGAGTATAGACGAGGGAGGACTGGACTGGGTGATTCTAGACCGTCAATCACCCGACTATGTACGCAGAAGAGGAAGACAAATCGAAGCGGAAGATAATTCCCCAGGCCAATGCCCTCCTTGGCTCTCGAACACCGCCGAGTCACATCCTCCCTCCCTTACAGTTACTATGAGTAAGTTCTTAGTCTACCTACTGAGTACAAGTAACTATTACACATACTGAGAACTGTCATTTGAATCCATAATAGATCGCTAAGCCTGACAAACCCTAAATCCCGAACACCCTTCAGTCCACTCGTAGCGAATCAGCCAGCTATGAATCAGTTGAGATTTCAAATCCCTGTTCCCCAAACGTCTGTCTCAAACTCAGTCTCAATAATTTTTACCGAAGATATCAAACCATCGTGCGTTGATAGTCAGGCCCAGAACCCAGCTAACTAAGCACTAACTGACCAAGAGGACGCTTGCGTGCATTAGCCGGCGCTCTTATCAGACAGGACATGTAAAGTAAATCGGTAATGCAGATACAAACCCTGTAATTACTAGCCCACTGCACTGCCGCCGCACACCTGCACTCAGCAGTGAGCACAGACCAGAACCCAAATTAGATTAATGATCCACCCCGATGGATCCAATCAATCGACGTATCAGTCATTAGAGTTGAGATCCATGGAGGGATTAGTTGAACCATTAACGTTACCACCGAGTTCAAACCCACCCCCACACAAGCTTGGGAATGGGGCCACTGGCCACTGGCCAGCCCGCCCTGATCGGCCTCAAGACTTTCTTTCTTCCAACTTGCACGTTCAAGAGGAACCTAGCTATAGGTACTGTACACAAGTTACCACACAGGCAGAAGAATTGGACTAACCTGGTTGAACTAGCTCGCAGTATCAGGACCAGATTAGACTTCACCAGACCGACAATCACACATTCCAACACCACACCACACCACACCACACCACCACACCACCATAGTCCAGTAGTTACTTACAGTATGTAATCCACAAGCCGAGACGACAACAAATCAGAATAAGCACTCTATCCCCGATAACCTCGCATGGCAGACAGAAGCTTAGTTACTCGTAGTTCCTACTGTACCCCTTCACAAAATCAAACATTCTCCCCTTGGCATGCACATCATCTACAATCCCAGATACAGCTGCGACTAGTACTACAGACTGCAACTCCAGAATCCCCCAACCAACCACTAACTTAACCCTCTGAGAGAGCCCCATCGATTGAAGAAACTGCACACGACTCCAAAAAGAATTCTGCAAAATCCCGCAATATGCCACCATGACATAGGATGCAAGAACAATGCGAAATGATAATAGGAAGGAAGGTGAAAGAATTTTTTTTCGGCAGCTTGCTTGCTAACTCCCAAACTTCTCCAGATTTGATCGGCAAGGGATCGATTGATCGCTGTTTGCGGCTTGTCCGTCCTTCGATGTAACGCTGCGGGTGGGTGCAGTGGGTGTGTGTGCCTTGCCCTTACTTCCAGCCCTTTTCCCCACCCTTTTTTTCTAATTACGTGCAGAGAAGAAAAACTCTTGCTTCTTCCACGGATCGGGCTTGTCCTGGATGCTGATCGAATTCGTTTGAAAGCATAGTCTGCAAGATCGGGAGGTCTGACACCGAAGGAAAAAAAGGTTGGAAACATAGGTAAGGATCATCGTCTCTCATTATTTTGTAGTAATAGTAGTAGTATCAGAAGTAGTAGTAGTTAAATCACTATATCCATCGCGCATGTCCGTACCTGCTGATCAAATCCCATCAACGCCATAGTCTTCGGGTATTGCTGTACTTCTCCACCTCCCCCTCCTTGTGTACAAATTGTACAGATATAAGTCCAGCCAATGCACAAGCACTCCTGCCTCAAACCCTCCCAACCGATCGAGTAATAAGACAAAAACTAAAAGTATAGTATGTAGAGTCACAGAAAGAAAGAAGAGAAACCAACGAGACACGCATCAAGCACTGATGGGGTACTCTTCCAATGTGAAGAATTCGTCAAAACCCACATCCGCCTCCGGTAGCTGGCTGCCACTGCCCAATCCAAATGCGAAGCGGCTAAATTCATCATATTCGGGATCCAGATGATCAGCTTGGTACGTCACCTCCACACCCTCCTCCTTATTCAGGTCCAGTCCCCAAACACCACCGTTCTGCCCCGTGGAATGAGGGGAGTGCGGCGTACTCGGCGTAGGACATAAGTCTGGCGTTGGGATAATAGGCTCGGCAGAAGACCCCATGTCCTGCCCACTGCCGCGCGGGGAGCTCATTTGCGACATTGTAGTGGCAGGCAGGCCGTGTGCCAGAACTGTTTGACCTGGCTCCGATCGGACGCGGTTGTGTTGGATCATATTGACCGGGCGGCTCATCGCCGGAGTTGGGGGAGTCATGGTAGCAGCAGCTGTGGTTGTGGTTCCTCCCACGGCAGGAGTGCCCATCAAAGGAGAAGCGGCCATGGTGTGGACTGGGATGACCGGTGCGGACGCCATGCGGTCTCTAAACTGCCGCACTGGCATCGCGGCCATCTCTCCTAGAGAGGCTGTAGGATGCTGTAGCTGAGGGGATAGATAACCTGCAGTCCAGGGTGACCGGAAGGGCTGCTGCGGGCCGAGTTGCTGCTGCTGGTGGGCGACGGGGGACCAGGTGGGTCCGCCCGCCTGGGCAATGTAGGATGGCACTTGGCCCGCCGAAGCAGGAACAACGTTGGGATACGACGGCGACTGCGCAGTCCCGTCCAGATTAGGGGAGAGCACGTAGCTGCTAGGGTTCGCCGACAGCGGACTAGTCATTGGTCCGGGTTGCACCCTGCAGTCCTCTGCGATGGAAGATCGCAGCCCGGACAGATCAAGGCTCATTTTGCGTATGCCGTTGATCGAAGCGCGCGGGTTCATATGTGCACTCGCAGCTCGCCGCTGATGCAGACCACTGCCGGGACGCGCACCATGCCAGGCGGCCATTAGGTTCCGGTTAAATTCAGCATGTAGCTGCATGGACTGAGCATGCAGCATCCGGTTGATCTTCTCTTGGTAGCGGTCATCCACCTCTTCGTACATTGCCTCTCGCTCCACAATGTCTCTGCTGATGAGAAGAGCCTTGCCGGTGCGTTGCTTGTGCAGGCTGGAGGCCCGGTTGGCCGACTCCACGCGGGCATCGAGGCTTCTATCTTTCCGTCTCGAAGCTGCAATGAACGCTCTGCGATCAATCAGCATAGAACAAGCCTCTTGAAGTCGGTGGTACTTACCGTTCCTGATTCTCCTCTTTCGTGCGAGGATTTGGGGCGACATCGAGGTCGATGCCAGGAGATCCCATTTTAAAGCAGTTTTTGAGAGTCAGGGAAAATAAAACTGCGTGGGGTGGTAAATGTAAGCCGAGAGCAATACTGCAGTCAGATGAAGGCTGTAGAGATAGATACAGGAGCCCTGGGGCTGAAGAAGAATAGACAACGATAGACGGGTGATACCTCGTCCAGAGCAGGGCTAGAAATAAGATAAAGAAAAAAAAGTTGTAAAGAGCAGCCAGCAGGAGAAATTAAATAGATGGTTGCCAAGGAGGGGCATCCTACGCTGCAAAGCGGACAACGGAGTGGTTCAGGCCGAGAACCTACTGTACTTGACTACCGGAAATGCAAGCTGGGGAATCCCAAGCTGACAGGCGAAGAGACGCCCGAGTCCAGACAGGATCAGCCAGAGAGCAACCATAGCCAAGGCTGGGACTCTCCCCGGAGGGGGGGGGGTGGGGGGAGGTCTGGCGAGTTCTCAAAGTCTGCTGGTACCATGGGACGGGCAACAGCTAGAGTTCTTTGCGGAGCTGGGTCTGAGCATCCTGGACAGCTGGCGAGAGTACATATCCATGGGAAGACCTGAAGTCATTCCCAGTCGTTCGAAAGGCAAGGTAGCTAGGGAATACAGTAAAGTCAGACCGGAAGTATTGTCCCAAGGCCATGATTGCGAGTGTTCAGGTGTAGAGGAAAGGAAAAGTCTTGCAGATGAGCATCGAAGAAGAGGAACAGAGGAGAAGAAGGAGAAAGTAGACGACTGAAGGGGGGGGGACGGAAAGGACAAAGGACAGTGTTGGGTTGACTGATTGCTCGTAAAACTTTGAGGCTGTCTCCAAAGTCAATTATTCGCTTGCTTAGCAAGCCTGGAGCGAGTCTTGGAGTCTCTATTGATGAACAACAATCTGAAGGAAGGAAGGAAGGAAGGAAGGAAGATAAGCTGCCAGTGTTTCATACTTCCGTTACCGTATGGTACTGTCACTCTGCAGCCCACTGATCGCCAATCCTACCCAGAGCGGCAAGAGCAATCTGACTTAGGCGGGACATAAGCTTAGTCACCCCTGCAATCGAGTGTCAAATTGTCAATTGAGTGCTGCCCCACTGTCAGCCTGCGGGGTCTTGTATCGAATCTTGCATGATTAGTGGTAATGGATCGGTATGGCGCTACTGTAGGTACATACATGGATACGAATCCAACTCAACAACGGGTGAGTGTTGCACCTAAACTACTGTACAGTACATTGTAGTTATGTAGTAGTACACCGTACTGGACCTACAGCTACCTCTTCACTTCTTCCTGCCGCTCATTATTACTCAGCCATGAAACGATGTGATGATCAACTGCAGACATCGCCCAATGCCGCCTTGTTATTACCCGATCAGGGAATTGCCCTGAACACGAAGATGACAGTCTCTCGGTCTCTCAGTCTCATCTTTGAAGCTGTTTGACCCGAAGGAAAATAGTGGACGGGTCCCTCCCTCTCTGCAGTCTCAATAACAGACAACTTTCTCTTGTAACTCTTGTAAGAGTTCGTTCCCCCCCCCCAATCCTTGTGACTCCTACCACCCCGTAACCACCTGGTCGGGAATTCGCCCCTCTCCCCGCAGACCAGATCTGAGAAGACGAAGATCTGACAGATCGCAGCTGCCGACTCGATGGCACATGGACATGTACTAGGTAACTTGCAGCACTTGCCCGTGTCAGATCCCGAAGAAGCCCGGAAATAACCGTGGGATGCGAGGGAAGACGAAGACGTCCTGTCCTGGTCTGTGCCACCGCCACCCTTCCCACTTTCTTCGTACTTCACGCTTGTCACCCCGAAGTTTTGAAACGGGACCCATTCCAATTCCTCACAGGCTCTCCTTGAAACTCTACTGTACCTTTTACAACCTCTTGCCTTACCTCACTGCCTTTCCCCCCACTCCTTCCCACCATTCCCCCGCTCAGCTCATACACCCTTTGATCCCCTCCTTAACTTCACGACCAATCCTGGTCCCAGCCATCCTTCTTTCCCCTCGTCGGCCCAGCAGCCACTCGGCCGACGCTCCCTGGTACGGTCTCTCGGCAACGACCCAATCCATTCAGAGGGATAATGCCCGTCTCAGGGGTCCTATCCCAGCTTCATTCCCGAATAAACCTCCGGTGGCTGTCCAGGGCCACCCCAAAACAGGTCCGGAGAGATGTGGGCTGTCCATGTCAGGAAGCAAGAAAACATTGGCAGGTTGTCAGGGAAGGAGGGGAAAGATCCTTATCACCAAGAGAAGCGGCCACGTTTCGCTCACGGCTTCAAACTGGCTCAGGTATACATGGATACGAAAAAACTATGCAGGCTAGTTGGGAAATCTCTCACAAAACAGAGCAGAAACCGCAAAGTCACAAGAGATTCAAATATCAAACACACCACCATGCCTGGAACAGGTTCAAACCATATGTCAGGGGGGTTCCCTCCGTTTGTCTCCTCCCCTGGCCCTCTGGTCAGCTGTAATCCAATCCCTCATCTCCTTTAGGCAATTCCCAATGATGGGACCATGCCCTGTTCTTCTTTGCGCTCGCTACCCACCCGGTACGAGACGCGGAACCGCATCTTGATCGCGTTTCCTTTACCCATCGGAACCCTATCCACTAACATTTCCTGTTGCACCCCGTTCGCCTGTGAGGGTGCAATGTCCCGTCCCGACTGCGGCCGCAGTTGCAGTGTGTATGACTGTGCGGTTCCATTAGCATTTGATTTTCAGAAGTCATCCGCGGGGGAGAGGGGGAGAGAAGATGCTCACCTTCTCCACGGCCACTTGAAAGTGTAATTCACTCAGTGGCTGGTTAGAGCCGTTGGAAAACAGGGCTACCAAATGAATCTGCTGTGTCTGTTGGGGATGTCGGCGCGCCATGAATTCAATTCGGAGGGTCGAGTTCAGCACCTGCACGCGATTCATGCTGGGTAGCGCGTTGCTTTCTGGCAGAGATGAGGCGAAATTCCATTCGTCCTCCTCTCGCGCCTTGGTCTGGCTGTTTGCTGGTGGCGCAGGCTCGCTTCCTATCAGGTCCAGCAACGAACCTGCTGGCGGCTGAGAGCTTGAGGCCTTGCCGGAGGGCAGAGGACTGGCCTGTCGCGACCCAGCAGACACCAAGGACGCAAACGGATCGAGAGCAGGAGAAGGGGTTGCCGTAGCGGGAGAAGAGATGATGCTCTGAGGCCGCCCACCTGGGGCGGGCGTGGATGACTGTGAGGGCGACTGAGATGTGTTCATCGAGGAGAAGATGTCATAATTGGGCCTGAAGCTAGTGGACGCTTGGGGCAGCGGTGGCGTCGCGGACGTCTTAGGGGCTGCGAGATCAGGTATTAGCACGCATCAACGTCACAAGGTATGTGAGTCGCCTACCAGGCCCCAGCAAGATTCCACCATGAGCCGGAGCAGGCTCGTCTATTGACAGTCCCAATAAGTCATTCTCCAAAGAATTACCTCCAGTAGGAGCCACGGCCCCATTGCCGTTGGCGTTCGGTGCGGGTTCGGGATCAAAGTCGATGAGGGAAAGTTCATTATTAGCGTTCTTCGACACGCCCGTTGTCGTGCCCAGAGTACCCTTGGGGATCTGGGAGGCCGCCTCCCAGTCGCCCTTCTTGACAAGCTTGTATCGCTCGATCGTGCGGTGTATACTGTCATTGATCTCGAGCAGCTTCTGTACGGCCTCAGGATCATCCGACTCCTCCTCGCACATCTTCTGGATCTTGGGATGGGCGCTTTGGAGTGCACTCGCCAGTTCCTTGTCGATATCCGTCAGCAGGTCTGTGCCAGTTTTGAGAGATAAAGCAGCCTACTTCGAATACGTCCCCTTCAGCGACTCGGTCGCCCGGCTGGTGGCTCTGTAGCATTTCCTCCAATATCTTGGCTTTTTGCTGCACCTTGGCCACCTCTTCTGCCGCCTTGGCCCGATAATCCGTCTTGTGTCGGTTGTCGTAACCGGCCATGACCTTCATCAACCGGTTGGCTTCTTGCAAGTCGGCGGGGGTGCCTCTGCGGATTAGCTCCTGCAGCTTAGCGGATTGAGCCTCACGCTCTTCCTCTTCCATTTCTTCGGCCGAGCGAAGGTTCTTGACGGGTCAGCGGAACGAGCGTTTCAAAATCCGAGAGGATAAACTCACGTCACTGGGATTCAGAACCGCAGCATCCTCATGGCGGATTTCCGGGAACACGTAGCCCTTGTAAAGCAGCAGACGGTGCATGTCCCGAATGTGGCCTAGGTCCTCCTTGTACCTCGACGTCTGACAGATCGTCTGTCGCCACTCCTCAATGGACTCAAGGATGCGATGTTGCACGCGCGAGGGCCGTATGGCCGGGCGCTCGGGGAAGCGACGGACCAGCTCATTGAGGAACTCCTTGGTGCTGATCTGAAGATGAAAGGGGTAACCGCAATTCTTCACGCAAATGTCGAGCAACTAGCCGAAAGTGTGTCTCGTCAGTCCCATATGTTCCGCGCCAGGCTACCCGATGACATTGTTTGAGGCCACCTACTGCCAACGCCAGTAGCGCCACGTTTTGGTTGCGCGAATTGATCAGATGGACGATCTCGATAGCCGCTTCTCGAGGTCTGCGGAGCCCATTAGTTTTCCGATGGGTCGCTTCCCAGGAAGGCGGGGATGCGCAACGCCAGGCCAAAAGACTCACGCATTGCCTTTCTTGGAGTTTATCAGATCGGCCACTTCAAGATTCAGGGCGAGGTTGGGTTCATAGTGGGACAGGTCGCAGGCATTTCCTGTAGTAGTGGGAGATAAAATATGAGCAATACGTCATATTTCTGCAGAAGCTCCTTATATCGAGAATTGTGGTGGTGGGAAAATCTATGAGAAAGAAAACGAGGAGGGGGGAGGGAGGGGGGGCACAGAAGACACATACGGATAGCTCTCTGTAGCGGTGTTAAGCCCGGGTCAGCGTAGGCACCGAAGCGGTCCCTCGCTGCCATACGTGCTGAAGCGGCCTCCAGGGTGAATTAATTGAAAAGAACCAACGGGGAAATGAAAATAATAGGGGGAGTAAATTGAGAAAAGTGAGTATAAGATAGCGCGCGCGGAGGGGAATCGGAGTCGGGGAAAGCTTTTAAGGTAGTAGTAGTCACAAGCAGTGGGAAGAAGGATGATGATGATGATGATGGAGTGGGTGGAATGAATTAATGGGGGAAGTGGACAGGGAAGAATGAGGGGAACTTCTTTCCGTCCCGATGCCGGGTTAACCTGACAGGCCAGGACGGACTTGGTTGGTTCAGTTGGCTGCTCTCCGTCACTGCCTGCATTTTCTTGACTCCTACACCACCATCACCTTTACACCTTCACTCGTCCACCTCCTCTACGCGCTGCACACCAGTTTCACGAAATAGCTGTACATGCTTGCAGCCTGATACCTTACGCAATTCATCACTTTTTCTATACTAGCCATACAGACCTTCTAAACAGAAGCCAAAACACACTATGGTCCGCCACAAGAAGGACAACTTCTCCCGCGGCGGCAAGAAATTCTCCTCCGCCCCGCGCTCTCGTCCCCCTCCCCGCGGCGGCGGCGGCGGTGATGGCGACAGTGACACCGAGCAGGGCGGTTACTCTCGTCCTCCCTTCAAGGCCGCCTGCTGGGACATGGGCCACTGCGATCCGAAGCGATGTTCCGGCAAACGATTGATGAATTTCGGCCTGATGCGCGAGTTGGCGATCGGCCAGCGCTTTCCCGGTGTCGTGATCTCGTATGTTGTCGCTAGCCAGCTCATACCCACACTCACACCTAATATGCACATATCCATGGCCTGGATCATTTATGATGTAGATATCCGTATCATGGACTCTCGTCACTAACCTTCTTGCTTCTCTCTGATCCCTAGGCCCAACGCCAAAAAAGTCGTCTCCCCCGCCGACAAAGACCTTATGGAACAATTCGGTGCCGCGGTGGTAGAATGCTCGTGGGTGCGTACCAAGGAGGTCCCTTGGTCGCGAATCGGGGGCAAGTGTGAACGATTGCGTACGTCTTTTCTTCATTTATGCCATCTACATGCATCCTCTCGATTCAAGCCTAATTTCGTTTTGTGTTTCGAAACAGTCCCCTACCTCATTGCCGCCAACACGGTTAACTACGGCAAACCTTGGCGTCTGAACTGCGTCGAAGCCCTGGCGGCCTGTTTCTGTATCTGCGGCCACGAGGACTGGGCTCGCGAGGTCCTCAAACCCTTCCGCTACGGTGAGGCCTTCATGGAGATCAACGCCAAGCTTTTCAAGCGCTACGCCGCCTGTGCCGATGAGGAGGAAGTGAAGCGCGCCGAGGAGGATTGGCTCGCCAAGATCGAGAGGGAGTACGAGGAGAGTCGGGCCACAGGTGCGGACGATATGTGGACCGTCGGAAACACGAACCGGAGGGCTGAGAGTGATTCGGAGGAGGAGGATGAGGACAAAGATGATGAAGAGGAAGACGAGGAGGAGGATAAGGACCCGTTCGCCATCTCGGATGATTCGGAGGAGGAAGAGCAGATGGCTGCGATCAGAGCGAAGATCTTGAATTCCAAGGCGTTCCAAAATCCCGAGGTCGAGGAGAAGGCGAAGCCCGAGCGGATCGCGAGGCCCGAAGAAGAGACCATCCCACAGCCGCTGAAAGAGGATTCAGATGCGGAGTCGGGGTCGGCGGAAGGCGGCAGTGATGATGAGGAGGATGCCTTCGATAATATCATCAATGCCACGCCTGTGACGGATCGCACGGGCATTATCGCGGCTCAGAAAAAGAAGCAGAGGGAGACGGTCAGTGCCTCCTTTTCGAGGACGGTGGTCGATGCGCCTAAAAGGTGGTAGTGGTAGTCCGTCGCGGTGAGCACTTGCACTCAGACAAAACTAACGAGATATCATGGAAATATAATGAAACAATCATGAAGTTTATACAGTTGGCATACTTGTGTATTCTGTGCCATTGCAGATAGGGTATGCTTTAGAACAACAGACCATTCTGACCATCCAAAATAAGCTGTGACCGCCAAAGCTAAAAAAGCAGCGAGAATAGCATAACAGCCCATAGTTAATATTAAGTATGAAAGGCACCAATGTTTCTCTCCCCATCGCTCGACCCAAGAAGCCCACAAACGCCTATTTACATGACATACCGCAAATTCACATCTATATTCCGTCAGAACCGCTTCCTACTTTATACATTATACCGGAACAACAGGACACTGCTTACCCAAGGGATGACTGCTGCTCAGCTGCGGCTTCTGCGAGTACTTGGTAGCCAACTCGTCGCGGATGCTGTTCAACAGCTGTACGTAGCTCTGCTGTGGGTTCTTGCGGAGCGCGCTGATGAACGCCCACGACATGGCTCCCGTGGCCTGTCCGGCAATCTGTGCATCCTGGCTGGTCTGATCGTCTTTGCTGCCCGACCACATGATCACGTCTGCCGGGCTTGTCTTGGTCTGTTTGGTACGCTCGTACGCCTCGTCTCCCTTGGTCGCCTTCTTCAAGAATCCCACTGCCGTTGACATCATGCTGCTCATATCGCCCCGGGCGTATGCCGAGACCACGCCCAGCAGACCTTGACCCGCCTCCTTGGCCAAGTTGGGCTCCTTGAGAATTCCTTGGGTCGAGTAGATGTAAGGCAGATCCAGGGCAGATCCAGAATGGCACGAATCGAAGATCGCTGTGAGCCGCACTCCGGGCTGAAGTGGTTTGACCATGATGCGGTGCATCTCGTCATCGACAATATGTCCCGCGGCGCGGAAGTCGACCGGGTAGATCACCTCATCGTATCCGTCGTCCTCGTCGCCGTCCAGATCAGGGGTCTGACCGCCGTGGCCTGCTGCCGTTAGACCAGCCTCGAAAGAAAGGAGGGGTTAACATGTCGGCGCTTACCAGAGTAGTGAAAGAACAGAGAGTCGTTAGGCTGCGCATCCTTCACCAGCCAGTGCATAGCCCGGAGGATGTTGGCCTTAGTGGGTTGGCTCATAGGGTTTTGCTGGTCATCCGTCAACAGAACCATGTCCTCACGAGCATAGCCAAAGTTCTGATTCAGGTATGTTGACATATTCTTGACATCGTTGATACATCCTCGGAGTTGACCTTTCTGGTTGAAATAATTGATTCCAATCAATAAAGCCTTTCTCTTGCCCGTGCAACGAGAGTACTGGAAGCTGTAGCCTTGCGGCGCGCCCTGACCGAAAGACACCGGTTCACTTGGCGGAGGAGGAGGTCCGTTGCCCTGGCTGCCTTGGTTGTAAGGGTTCGAGTATCCTGGAGAATGTCAGTTGCGTCAAAACTGCGCGTTAGAGCGGTTTGCGGCTTACCCTGCTGACCACCATATTGGGGAGCACCATAGCCACCCTAAAGGACTGCCATTAACCGTCCGTTGCACAGGAAGATAAGACTCGGGCTCGCTTGACATACATTATAGCCGCCCTGGGGCGGCGGCTGACCGTAGGGGTAAGGATTGCTGGGAGGTGGTTGTTGTTGTTGGCGGTAGGCCTGACCAGGGTATCCCCCGCCGCCGCCGCCATAAGACGCTTGGTGATGATGATGGTGAGGATTCATTTGTCTGGGGCATTGATTAGCATCAAGCACGAGGCGTCTGTTTGATTATTTGCCCAAGCAAGAAAAAGAAGGCGACTGAAACTCACTGCTGATACTGTGGTGGCGGGCTGCCGTAGCTCTGAGGGGGGTAATTATACTGCTGCTGCTGTTGCTGCTGCGGGGGATACCCGGGCGGGCCCGAATATGGAGGATAGTAGGACATGGCCGAATTGCAGAGGAAAGGCGAGGATTTATGGACGAGTCACAGGAGCAGAATAAGAAAGACTGATATGCAGGGCCCAAGCAGATCACGAGTCAGGAAATAAGACGAGAGGGTAAAGCGAAGAGAGAAGAAGGGGAGAAAAAAAAAGAAGTGAAAGAGGAGAAGAGGAGAAGAGAAGGTCAGATGGTGAGGAAGTGAGAAAGGCGCAGTCCGTCACTGGGGAAAGGCGGCAGTGGAGCCCGACGCGCCAATTGGTGCTTCCTCGGTTGGATTTACTTCTTCTTCAATAAAATAAGAGTAAGAGAGAAGAGAAATAAATAGACGAACAAAAATACTAGTCTATTGGGGGACGAAAACCATAAACTTGGATGAACATTTGGATAGGTTTAGGTCTCTCTCCTGCATATCGGTCACTCCGATCCCCAGCTGCATTGCGCCGATGCAAATAATACAATCTTCCTTCCAGGTGCCAACGTCAGAATTCCAAATGCACCCCTCCTATCACACATCGTTTTCGGCCCGTCCTCATTGCTGCCCATCCTCTGGCTATCAGCCATCATGGTGCCGCCGAAGAACTGCCGGGGGTATAAATAAACCTATCGATTCAAGGCTATCGCGAAAGAATTCAAGGTTCATGGCCTCGTGGAATTTCAGGACAGCAGCACGTGATGCCGTAAGGGCCCAGGAAGTGAGTGACAGATAGTGGGCCTTTCCCGATCGGGATAATTTAGTCTACGAACAGCCCCTATATCAAAAGGATTGAAAGGATCCAATATGGAGGGCAAAAATAAGAAGATAAAGAAAATATGATATTATCCACAACCAACGGAAAGCACTCAAGCGCTATTCAGATTATTGATTGCTTTTATATTCAACCATTCCATCGCATACAGGTCCAAATCTATTCTTCGTCCGCCTATCGTTTACCGTCCGCGGCGAGGCATGCCACGTCCGCGGCCACCCAGAGCGCGCTGGGCAGCACCCGGCGGGAGTCCACGCGCCGGGGCCTGAGCTTGGGCTGACTCTTCGTTCTCTGTAGAAAAGAAAGGTTGTCACGTCAGCTCTAAACTAGAATCGGGTCGGGATGCTGCGTCTCTTACTGATAGTTTCATCCACGCTCAGAATCAGGCAGGCTGCCTCAACAGCCGCCTGGATGGCATTGACCTTAACCAGACTGGGCTCCCACACAAAGGCAACCATGTTGTCCCGAACACCTTCGTTGTCAAAGTCTACACCTGCCCAGACGTTGCCCTTGCGGTGTTCCACCCGCAGGCGGTTCAGGATGTCCGTCGCGTCGAATCCAGCGTTGTCGCACAGCTGACGGGGAATCACCTCCAAGGCCTTGGCAAAGGCCTTGACCACCGCCTGCTGCTTGTGGGGCACGTTGCGGTCCGCGAAGCCGTGCATGAAGCTCGACAGTTCCATCTCGGTGGCACCGCCACCCGCAACAATGGTGGTGTGGCGGAGAGCACGCTTGACGATCATAATGGCATCGTGCAGACTGCGCTCAACCTCCGCAATAAATTGCTCCGCTCCACCGCGTAGCACGAGTGTGCAGGTCTTGGCGGCAGGACATTCCGAGAAAAGATTGTAGCGCTCACCACCAATTTGACGTTCCTCAAAGACACCGCATGTACCCAAGTGACGATCTTGGATGTCACTGCAAGTCGATTGCGTTGCCGCACCGGTCGCCTGGCAGACCCGGTCCATATCATCAGCAGCCACACGACCAGCACAGAAAATATCGCGATCCGCAAAGTACCTGTGCGCAGTGAATCGAACATTAGTGACTTGCAGGCCAACGGCAAGGATGGTGAAAGAAAGACATACTGCGTAGCCAAATCACCAATAGGCAGCTTGCTGAGAACAACCTTGGCGCCGGTCTTGTAGATGGCCTCCAGCTTGTTGTAAATGATCTGCCACTCGGCATCGACAATAGCCTGGTACTCCGACACATGCTCCACGCGCACTTCGGCGTTGTCCTTCTCGCTCTTCAACTCCAACTCAACGTTCAGACACACAATCTTGGGGTCTTTGAAGTACTTCGGCTGTTGCTCGAAACCGGCATAGGAGAAGGTCTTCTTGAAGGCAACACCGTTGACGAAGAGTGAATCCTGCAGACCACCACCAGTAACTCTCTTGATACCGATCAGCTTCTCGTTGAGGTCATCCTGGTCGAGCGACAAGACGGCATCCACCACCACTAGAATAAATTTTAGTTTCCAGGCCGGGACCCTTGAATAACCGGAAGGCCAACATACTCTTAGTGAAGAAGTCTGAGTTGCGCTTAATAAGCTTGCTGTTCATCGCCGTTGCGGCCAGGCGTCGTAGCGTCTCGATCTTCTTCTCCTCGCTTCCGGCAGCCTCGATCATGTCGATAGCAATCTCTTTGATCTTGTTCACAGCCATGGAGCTGGCTCTCCGCAGACCCTTGACAATAGTCTGTGAACTGACTCCCTGCTCGACGAGTTCCCGAACTTCCTTCAAGATCTCACCGGCCAAGACGACAACCGATGTTGTTCCATCTCCCACTTCGGCATCTTGAGACCGGGCAATGTCGGTGAGAATGCGGGCGGCGGGGTGCACGATATCGAGGAGCTAGATGGAGGGTAAATGTCATCAGCATCCGACAGCGGGGTAAGGAATGTATTATCTGTCCAAGGAGAACAAGAAAAAAGGAGTCAAGTGAAGACATATGACAATCGGGACCGACGCACCTTCATGACGGTGGCTCCATCGTTCGTAATGGTCTGCTTGCCGTTGCCGTCCACCAGCAACAAGTCTCCTCCATAAGGGCCGAGGGTGCTCTTGATCGTAGACTGAACTGCAACACAGGCATTGATGTTGGAGATGATTTGACCCTTTCCCTGCGAGGTGTCCGTGCCTGTTGGACGCAAAATCACAAGGTCAGTTAGCAACGATCCGCGGTACACACAGAAGCAGCATTTGGATGCGGGCGAGGTGACGGACCCTCCTTGAGCACGATGATCGTGGGAGTCTGGCCAGCGAAGGCCATTTTGGTGGAAATGAATGGGCGGAAAGAGAGGGCAAAGCGAGGGAAAGGTGAAGAGCCGAGAGCGAAAGCGTGGGGAGTTGATGGGAGAGTGGCCCTGAATAATGATCGCAGCTTTCTCGGAGGGGTCTCAATAATGCCTGCCTCTCTGACCAAAATTTCCCCGAGCTCCCAGCGTCGAAGGCGGTGACCAATCATGCCGCGCCCCGCAGCCCTCCTTTTCGACCGCCGGGGAGTAAGTCACTTAGGTACCTACTAGGTATTCAACTACTATGAGTACTACTAGCATAAACACGACCGCATCTCGTCTCATATTGTTCTCTTTACTCGGTTCACCTGGGCTGAGTATGATCTTAATTAGTGGTTTACTGTCAGTCGCGGGAAACTGTACAGCATCATAAGAGATCAGGACGAGCCATTATTACTACCCTCACGAGCAGCTCTGTTCACAACCTTCCTACAAACATTGGTTCTAGACACTGATAACTCATGCAGCTTGGCTCGGAACTCTCAGAGCCCATGTTTCATGGCTATATGTCAAGAAAGCATTCAAGCTCGAGTAATTGTCATCATGTGGCTGATGCTGTGGAGGCAGAAAGTCCTTCTGTACTGTCGGGCTGACATTCCATTTGCTGCATGCGAGAACATCATCGATGATTCTAAATCTATAGGCAGAAATACTTCATGATCGCGCACACAGACCTCTTCGATAGCCCAAAATCTCTTGTCGAAAAGAAACTTCCTCCATGATATTGTGCATGAAGATGGCCATGAGTTCAGATTTGCGCCAGTACTTAAGAGGTCGCGGGCAATAAGACTGGCTCAGTTCGGGTCGAAGATAAAGTCCCAACGGCTGCTGCAACGCCGAATCATCGAATATTAGGCCAAAAAATGATTTGGTGTTGCATTGGCTTTCTTTCCACTGTAGCCCTTTCCACTGTAGCCGTGGAAAGGGGGGCATCTGCAAGGCTCAGTTGTAAATGAGCACCAGCAAAGGCTCGGAAAGCATACGGTCCATGTACGCATTAGCGAACAACTTCTGTCGACCTTCAAAAGTTATCAAGTCTTTGGGGTTTATCAACTTATGGGGTTACTCCAGGGTCAAAAATTCATGTATTGAAGGTTGCGTTGAGCAGTCGAGAAGTGATGTCACGCAGCCGTATGTTTTCCACATCAAACTTCGGCTGCTTCTATGCTTCTACATGAACCACTTCTGCTCCATGAACAAAGAGCTCCTCCAGCTGCGAACATTTTTCTCTACTGTAAATCCTCCGATTGTGTTGTTACAGACTCTAGGTTACATCTGTCATCTATCTGATAGCTTCAATGTCGACTGGAAATGGCCCTCAGTTCTACCCCAATACGCTGAGTCCTGTCGTGATCAGCAAAGGCTCCTTGGAAGATACACTGAAGCAGCTCCAAGAGGCTATTAAACATGGGGCTATTCTTCTACAGTAAAACTGTCCCCCGCTCAAAGATTGGGGAAAATCCCATAATACTGGTTTCTATGCTGGTTTTCCAGGTATATCGTCGCCGCATATACCAACGGCCGCCGTTCCTTGATCAAATCACCCTTTGTTCGTATTCCGCTGATGATAGCTTAGGCATCGTTCTGGCCTTCTTGCGCCTAGACCACCAAGTCAAATCACTTGGGGTTGGCTCTCAGGACTTTCATCAGCTTGCCATTGAGCGGATATTGCCAGAAGGCCCGGATATGCCAATCCTGCATGAGAGAGTGTCTCCGTTCGGCTCTTCCAGCGCATTGGCTGGTCCGATACTGCGCATCCTTGCCTCAAGGGACTTGAAGACAAGAGTTCCTGGTGACGATACGGCATGCATCCAGAAGGCGATGCGGATCGCTCTGACTAATGGCCACATGGTATCACATGGTGGTTCGCTCATGGGATCAGATGAAGTTCTATTTGGCCGAGCCGGCTTGCTGTGGGCGTTGCTCAACCTTCGACTGCGTACTTATGAGGATGAGACAGCGCAGGCCTTAACACTGGTTTTCAAAGAGATACCTCGGCTAGTCGACCGTATCATTGCGAGTGGAATCGACGGTAGAGAAGACTTCATCTCCAAGCATGGAGAGCAATATGCATTGCCATTGATGTGGCATTGGAAGGAAGACCGGTACAGTCTTGGGGCGTTAGTCTTTTCTCAACTCATATTTTTGCACTAAACTGACAATATGACCAGAGTACATGGCATAGGCAAGTATATATACACTGCAATAATCATAAGGTTTCGATAACTGACAGTTCTCTCCGATAAGCTGGTATACTTTCTAGTCTCCTTGCCTGCAAGCCAGAGGAATCCAGCAACGGTGCAGAACGCAACTATTGGCCACTAATAGCTGGGACAATTACAGGTCTTTGCAAAATATGCATTGCCAATGGTGGCCACCTGCCTACCAGTCTTCCTTTTCATGGATCCTCGCGTCGCTCTAGCCCTCTTGTTCAAATATGTCACGGCAGCCCCGGCTTCTTGAATCTCATGGCTTGCGCCAGGAGAAATCGTTCCTTGGTTTCCACTTCCTGGCAGCCGGAGTGGGATAAGGCTATTTCTGTGGCGTGTGATCGGGTCTGGGAGGAAGGAATCTTGTACAAGGGTGGCGGCTTATGCCATGGGATTGCAGGAAATGCATGGTCGTTGCTTCTCCTTCATGACAGCTTTCAGTATGATGAGGATTTCATGGAGACAACCAGGCGTAACTACGTCGCACGAACGGGAAATGTTGATGCAGCATCCAATGCAAGCGAGCTAACAGGCGACCACTTTCTTGCAAGAGCACTCGCATTACTATTAGAGGCGCAAAAAACGCCCCCTTACAATGATTCGAAACGAGACTCGTCCTTGTACCGCATGCCCGATCGCCCATATTCCCTCGCAGAAGGCCTCGCTGGCACTGTTTGTGCATGGGCAAACGCTTGTGTAATCCTCCAGTCAAGGCTACGGAGCATGCACATACAGAATGACTCTTCCTCCCACAATATGGACGCTGTGTTTCAGGAGTACGAATCGCAGAAGCTGGAAATCCCAATGCTTGCTTACCACAAGCCTACTGGGCTACTATAACTATCTGTTTACAGAAAGCTGTCTATTCATCACGAGAATAAATCGTGCAATTGATCATTGCTATAATGCTCCAGACACATTAGAATGAAATGTGAAGTGTCAAATCAGCCATCAGAGGAACTCCTAGACGCCATGCTTATACTGGAAACTCAATCGTTAGTCGGGTAATTTTTGCACCTGAATCCAAGCACCGTGAATAATTATTGTTGCCATAGCCATGCTTTAGAAGAGCGTGAAACCGGAGCGATACATAGGTGGTTGGCCTGGTATTTGAAACTTGTATTCAGCACGCCTCGGCACAAATTGGCCTTGCGGCGCCTCAACCGCAACCCTCCATCGCCGCCAACAATTTGTGATCTGATGATGCCTATCGCCACAGAATGAACACTGCTTTGGCCCGCGATGGGGCTGATGCGGTGGTGCTTGCGCTCGCGCTTGCTGGCCGCTGTGAGATTTTTCCGCTTGCTCGCGATGCATCTGTTCAATCACATAGTCGTTGATTTCTTCTTGGCTCGGCCTTTTGTTGTGGCCTCGTACACTTTTGCTGCGACTGTGTATCTGCTCGTCATGGGTCATTCGCTGGACGACAAAGGCGTTTATGTCATCTTGAGTCAGAGTATCAGGATCCATTGACGTCTTCCGCGGAGACGCAAAGCCTCGCTCTGAGATTGCGTTTTCTTTCCTTCCCTTCCCTGGCAATTGTCGCAGACTTTCCTGCTTCATGGCCAGACTCGCCAGCTCTTGGAATGACATCCGGTCCTCTGGGTTGGAGGCATTTATGCGGCTATCTCGCAGCATTGTCGTAGCCCAGTCCCTCCAACCAGTACACTCTTTGAGCTTGGTGAGAAATAACAAATTGATCTGAGAGTCCGGTATGCGAAAACCATCATTGATATGTGCGAGCCCTTCTCGAAGTGCTTCAATCAGAGAAATAAAGTCAGCGACCATATCGGATTTGTCGGGGTCGAGATCAACGAATTCCCCGATATAGTGCATCATCCGAGTATTTTGTTGCCAGGATCCCATCCTCAGCCAGGGACTCGAGGTAGAAAGAATGCGCTCAGCAGGAACGAAAAACGAAGAAGAAAATGCTATAAGGACTGCATGGTAAAGGTTCTCTGGCGGCTTTTTGTGATGATTTGGAGTGTTTTGCAGACGAAGCGGGGGATGACGTCAGACGGGTACCTGCCCGTCAGCTTGCCAGATTCAGTAAGGACTCAGTTCATTCCATGGGCTTAATGATCCCCAGAACCATAGAGACCTTCTTTCCTTCTCTGCTTTCCTGACAGCTGTCTGCCTCGATCATTGACCACGAGGCGGTCTTCGCGACCTCAAATGTCGTTCGTGCTTACGGACAGCAAATCAGAATCCACAAGCTTATTGCCTTATGGATCCTTGGTGTCTTCCTACGCCCCATCGCACCCCGTGGCAGTGCCCGGCGCGCTGACTGCAGATTTGGGGCCGAGCGTTTCTTGGCCCCCGACTTTATGACAACCAAATGATCGTCCCAATCTGTTAAGCTTGCTGGAACTTCCTCGTATTTCAAAGAACGCTGCCTCCTGATCTCGTCCCTACTCCGTCTGAGAAAAAAAGAAGATATAGTGGTTCCAGACTAGCCCGAGAAATCACTAAGAGAACCAAGGCCCCCAACCAACCCACATGTAGCAACCATGGACACAGTGCCACCATCCTATCAGTCTGCTACAGCCCGCGATGCATGGTCCATTATATCGCAGTACATCCCATCAAGCGACCTTTGCGCTGCTGCTTTGGTTTGTCGGCGATGGCATGGGCTGTTCATGCCGTTTCTATGGGGTGACCCTGCTTCACACTTTGGGACTGAAAATGATGCCGTCTACGGTATGATACCCCGGTCTTTGGGGAGGGTGTTGGAATCTTAGCGCTGACGAAAGATATGCCATGCAGTCGCTTTGACAAGGTTCAGGCGGACACTCAAGTATGCCCGTCTCGAGGTGCGGATGCTCACTCATACGCTGCATCTACCCCCGGCCTTGTCAGAAATCTATGGTGGTCCACGTCCAGAGTGGCTGAGGGAGATTCTAGACTCTCTGCCAAACCTCCAGTCTCTCATAGTATCCAAGTTGCCTTTTTTCGATCATAATGCCATGATGGCTCTGAAGGGCGCTAGTAGGGGTGTTGAAGATGAAGCAACAACTTCCCGCACGTACAACATTCGCTTACTACTGGCGGACAGTGAATACAACACAACCTCACAGGGCATTGCAGAGACGCTGATGTACTTCCCTGAATTGACCTACCTCGATTTATCCTATACTACCCCTGCTAGAGATCACTTGGTTCTGTCGGCTTTATCACAACTAGAATGCCTTCAAGTACTCAAGCTACGAGGCATCGGGCTGAAAGATAACGATGCGGAGTTTCTTGCTAACGCCATTGGCTATCGTGTTCGGTTTCTTGACTTGCGCAACAATCTTCTTACTGATATGGCTGTGAGGTCTCTGCTGCAAGCCTGCTTTCGACCCACAAGCAATGTCACCGCAGAACTTAGCCCGAGAAGGTCTGGAGCATGGGGCAGTCCGATTGGCGGATCTCAGTCAATACCCCTCTCGTCGATGCAAAGGTTTCTAAGTAGCCCTATGCTGGATGAGAAATATATGGCAGCATTGACCCAGCCACTAACAGGAAGTTCCTGGGTTGAAGACTTATCAGAAGTTGGTATAACCCATCTTTATATCTCGGACAACCTCATTTCAGTAGAAGGAGCAGCAAGCCTCCTCGCTTCGTCTTGTCTGCACGCTCTTGACGTCGGGACGGTCAATACTGCTGAATCCATCAATAGACGACAGCGTTCGCTAGCTTCTGCAAATGAGGACCGTCAGGATCTTCCAGGGGCTGAGAAACTAGTCCCTATCTTGGGCTCTGCTGCTAAGAAAAACCTTACATATCTTAGAGCCCACCATGCGCTCTGCTCCGCTGAAGTACCCGCAAAGGATGCCACATCACCCGACGCACTTTTGCCCGAACTCCCGGCAGGAAGTAATCACGGTGAACCGCGTATACCAGAGCTAGAGTCCACCAACGAGATTCATGAGCTACCAACGGATTCCACGCCCATTTATGAGCTCGACGGCACTCCATTACCTCGGCCATCAAACCCGCCGTCACGCATTGCTGACTGCAACACCAGTCCTACTTTGTATGAAGACGAGCCATTATCTCAATGGCGACGTGGTTCAGTCTTTGCACCTGAAGCAGTTGACGTTCCAGATGTCAATAGAGAGGGCGTGAGACATTCTGGCTTCACCACTCCATCGCCCCGACTGCCTCACGAATTGTCGACCTCCAGTATCTCCAGCATCCTGGATAGTAGTATCGACACATTAGGCAGCCAAACACTGTGTTCCTCTCCAGTGGCGATAGATGATCCCCGCGCTCAGAAAGTCCAGGAACTGCTTTCTAGGCGTCCTAAGGGCCTTCCTCGCCGGAATAGCAGAGGAAGTCACTATTATCCACATCTGCATCCTTCCCACATGTCTCATCTAGAACAGCTTGTATTGACTGACGTTCCATCTCATGTACCCGCAAAGTCGCCGATTCTTGCGTCATTGATCCGTTTTATAACAGCCTGCTCGAACGAATCATTACTAGCTACGCTTCAGGCAGGATCAGATTACTCGCTTCCACCAGGTCAAGCTCGACTGCAAGCCGAACAAGAGAGTGCTCGATCCTTATTTGCCTTGCGCCGGATTGTACTTGAAATTACGCCAACATCCCCAGCTCAGGGTCGCGCTAGGTTGACTCGATGGAGACCTACCAGCTACCAGGCTGGTACCTTGAAATCAAGTACTGGAGACCAGGACTCCGAAAACCTTTGGTCAGCAGCCGTTGATGACTTCAGCTTCTTCGGCGAGGAAGAGTGTGGAGTTCCAGATGGCTATTCAGGAAAATACTTTCCCATGGCCGTTTTGAATGAAAAGGTCTCGTTGATACCAGAAGATGAAGACCCCAGGCTCTCTGGACACCTGGAATCAAACGCCACTTCATCTCCAAAATCAATCAGTTCAGGTCAGCAATTCACACCGCAAGCTAGATCGAGGACTATTTCGGTAGGCTCCGCATTTACCGCAAGAGATGGTCACCCGGAAGGTCCGTCGACTACTACAGCGGGCATGAGAAGCTCTGCCATCGCAGAATCTCAAGTTGAAGTCCCGATAGTAGATCTTGTCGCCGAGCTGGCTGCCTTCCGACGCGCTAAAAAGATAGAGTATGAAGAAGGGGTAAGGCGCGATCGAAAGCGACGGGATACAGTGGGGACCATAGGCTCCTCTCATCTCTCTCCTTCCACTACAATCTCCTCTTTTCAAACTCCTCCTTCCCCGAGCTTCTCTTCGTTAGCAGGGGCATCATCCTCTATGCAATCCATGCAACAGTTTGTGGAAGGCCACTGGAAAGGAGAAGTGAAGATAATACGAAATCCGACCCCCAAGGGACGCAGCGGCATTGTTGATATGTATGGGAACTATTTCGAGAAGGGTTATTTGTACCCTTGAGTCCGGGTAGACTGCTTATATTGAGAGAACATGGCAAGTCTAGCATATTCTGATCAACACATGCAATACAGGGCCAAAGGCAGTAGCTAAAGCATTTACCCGAATGGAAACATTCAATATCGATGTCTTCCAAAGAGGAAGAGATGCGACTGCGTGGCTCCTTTGTCTGCGGGTCAATATCTGATGTATCTACAATATATCCTGAGAGTCCCTTAAAACTTTTGATGATCCGTTTTTTTCAAACCCCGTAACTGAATCCCGTTCATTGAAAAGTAAAGAAAAAGATGGTTTCATCAAGCACACATGATCAAGAGAAGAGCGTTACGCCGAGCAGGAATTGGCCCTTTTTCAAACTAATTCCATTTTTGTTCTCTTTCGAGGGAAAAAAGTGATTAATGATTCATTCCATTTCCTTTCCCTTAGTTGGCCTTAGCAGCCTGAGGGGGGCTCAGCTTCTTGCCGTCCTTGTTGTACCTGATGCGAGGAGGAGGGGCACGGTTGCGACGACCTTCCCGGGAGCGGACACTGCAAGATAAGGTCAGCATCGAGCGACAGCCATGCTTGGAAGGGTCCTATTCGTACCGGACGATCTTGCCGTGGATAGCGCAGGAGACACAGTACTGCAGCTTGAGGTACATCTTGGGGACGGCGTAGTCAGTGAAGACGGAGGCGTCGGAGATATCACCTGCAGAAAAGAGATGTCAGTCGCGGGGCCCATGTCGTTTCATGTTTGTCCGGCGGCCTATTGCTCAGTTCCTGCGGCGGTCGAAAAGTCCACCAACTCGTCTCTCCGATACTCAATGAAGTCGATCAGGTCCAACTCTTCTGTGGAACGAACAATAGGCGGCGCGCGGTACAACGAAGATGGGATTTTGCGGTGATTAGATCGGTGGAACGTACGGATGGCAGCGGACTCAACCATGTTGCGGATGGTGAATCTCTTGATGGCCTTGTCCTTGGGGGTGCAGCGCGCGCAGTTGGAGCAGCGCACGGGCTTGACGTGGCCGCGGCCGTTCTTGTTGCGACCGCTATAGGAGAGAAGCGTTAGTTTCTAACCCGTTGAACAGACTTGTGATGCATTATTTTTTCCCCAAAGTGTCTTGGGAAATCCACTCCATCTTCATGTCTGTCGAACAAATCACTACCGATAAGACATATCCGCCGGGCCTCTTTTCGAATTGATTCGATTCGGGATGTGATCTCTTCATGTATCGTTCGAATTGCTGTTCAGGTCCCGGCGTATGTATGTGCGGATGCGTGCGATTTGACAGTCCAGAGCATGATTTCGGAGATTGGATATGTGGATTTTGAATATAGTTGTGTGGGAACAAGCAAAATCAGGGTGGTTTATCGGTTGTTCTTACTTGTTCGCCCTCTTCTTGACCATCTTGACGGATTTTTCTGTGGCGGCGGGTCAGAGACTGGAAGTCAGGAAAAATCGGGGGAAGGGAGAGGGGTTGAGCGCGTACTTGGTTGTCGGGGTTGGTTGTCGTCGTAAAGGCACCGGAGTCTCTCGCTCACTCGGGATGAGGTTGTGTCGGGTTTGTGTGGGAGCCCTATGCCCTTAAGCGAGGCGGGTCACGGGATTGAGGCTTCCCAGGATTTGTGCCTTGATGCCTTGGGACCTGTTGAGTGCCTGAGGTGTGGAAGTGTGGCTGATGTGGGGGTAGTATTTTCATGCCTCAGGCAGTAGCATTTCCTCTCATGTGACCTGATTAGAAAGTGGCCTGACCGCCTTTGACGGAGCGAGCTGGGTTGGGCTGGGTGATCCGTTCACGTGCTTTCGGCCTGATGAAATCGAGTCCCGACTCACATTCAATTTTCCCCTTGAATGGTTTAGTGGCAATGGCCGATCCATCATTACGGTACACTAATACGGTATTTTGTTTACTCCTGCGGATCTTGATGGCTTGGTGGATGGCATGCGTGGCGGAGGGTGGGTGGTTCTGTATGTATTGAAGTGGTCCCATTGGGAGGGGGGAGAAAGATGCAGTCTCCGTCGTCCACTTCCCACCCTGAGAGTTGAAACTGTCAATAACAAGTAAATAGTTTGGCCGAACTAGAACTAAGTTGGGAAACCTCCTTCTTCGTCCCCAATTCCTATTCTTTCTCCCCCCCCACTCTCCCTACCTCCCTCCCTCCCCTCCCCTGGTTTGTACCGTATCTTTCTTGTGAATCAACTTCATCCTCAAAGTTCTTCCTCGTTTTCACTCTCTGTTCCTTCTTGTCTTTGCGTGGTTGCATCTCTCTCTCCTCCCGTTCCGAGAAGACTAGTCTCCCTCTCTCTATCTCCTTAAAGTCCCGGTTGTCTACAATCAGGCTGTTAGTCTCCGCTTCTCTTTTTGAACCGGTTCGTCCAAACACAGACCGACTTTAAGTCAGCTCCGCCAGTCACCGACCGGGGACATGTCATCCACACCCACTTTTAAAGGAACCATCAACCACAAAACGGTCGGCAGAGGCAGGCTGCCCGACTTTCAAGACAGTCACATTCCTCGTCCTCGCCCGGACACTTCCTCCACTGTACACACCCCGCAGACCGCGTCCAGCGATATTGGAAGCAACACCATGAGTGCTGCCAGCAGTCGACAGCGTCAAAATCAGTCCAAGCGCGATGAGGTATGCTTGATTCTCCACTTGATTCTCTTCTTGAGGGTTTTTTTTTCTCTCTCTCTCTACTTCGCTGCACCGGTGATCAGTCGTAACATGGGTCGAAGTCTGAAGCCATCTCCATGGAGTTGCGAGAACATGAAAACATAAGGAAAATTTGCTTAAAGGGGGTCATCCCAGCATGGACTCAATTCTAACTACTCCTTCAATCCAGGCGATTCGGCGAAAATTGGAGGCCGACCTCAACAAGAAGCGCCAACACACGACCAGAGCAAACCGTTCTCGCAAAGCTCCTCCCGGCACCGTTCTTGCTTTGAAACCCAGCCAAGCCCTGCAGATTAAGCCTAATACTACCATTGCCGAAGCCGCCCAGTTGATGGCCGCTAAGAGAGAAGACTGCGTACTGGTTACCGACGATGATGACCGTATCTCTGGTATCTTCACCGCGAAGGATCTCGCTTTCCGGGTGGTGGGAGCAGGCCACAAGGCGCGTGAAGTCACGGTGGCTGAGATCATGACCAAGAACCCTCTTTGCGCCAGGACCGACACAAGCGCCACCGATGCTCTCGATCTGATGGTGCGCAAGGGATTCCGCCATTTGCCCGTCATGGATGAGAATCAGGACATCTCCGGTGTGCTTGATATTACGAAATGCTTCTACGATGCGATGGAGAAACTGGAGCGTGCCTACAGCTCTTCCCGCAAACTCTACGATGCCTTGGAAGGTGTCCAGACCGAACTCGGCTCCAGCCAGCCCCAGCAAATCATTCAGTACGTCGAAGCTTTGCGGCATAAGATGTCCGGCCCGACGCTGGAGTCTGTCCTAGATGGCATGCCCCCGACCACCGTCTCTGTCCGCACAACTGTCAAGGAAGCGGCTGCTTTGATGAAAGAGCACCATACCACCGCCCTTCTCGTACAGGACCAGGGCTCTATTACCGGCATCTTCACCAGCAAGGACATCGTACTGCGTGTCATTGCTCCGGGACTTGACCCCGCCACTTGCAGTGTTGTTCGCGTCATGACCCCTCACCCGGATTTTGCCCCCAGCGACATGAGTATCCAAGCTGCGCTTCGGAAAATGCATGGTATGTACACCAGCTTGAGATCATGTTAGAGAACAGGGCTAATAGCAGAGATATTTAGACGGACACTACCTGAACCTGCCTGTTATGAACGATGCAGGCGAGATTGTGGGTATGGTGGATGTGCTCAAGTTGACATATGCGACTCTGGAACAGGTCAGTTTGAATCCAAGCTTTCAATGCTCCTGAATCTAATATCCCAGCAGATCAATACCATGTCGTCACAGGACGACGAGGGCCCCGCATGGAACAAGTTCTGGCTCTCAATGGACCACGAGTCAGACTCAATGGTCTCAGGGAGCCAGCAGCCCGCTCAGCGGTCAGTGATCAGCCCCGAGTCACCCAAGGCTAGTTATGACACTCGGGACAGCGTTCTCCCCAACGAGTCTGCCTCCCACCACGGTGGGGATGAGCATTCGGAATACGCGGAGCCGCACCATGCGGAACACATCTCGTTTCCGTTCAAATTCAAGGCTCCCAGTGGACGAGTGCACCGCGTTAATGTTCTTCCTGCTGCCGGTGTCGCCGAGCTGGTCGCTCAAGTATCGGCCAAATTGGGTCCCGAGGTAGAGGCCGTCGGCGGTGCTCCAATCAGCGAAGACGGCAAGCTCAGCAACACGGGCTATGCTCTCAGTTATATGGACAACGAAGGCGACACCGTTTCAATCACCACGGATCAGGATCTGTCTGATGCTGTGAGTCTCGCGCGTCTGTCGCATAGAGACAAGGTCGATCTGTTCGTGCACGATCCTAGCCAGCCTCCAATTCCGGCTACGCTGGATCCTCAACCAGCTCCGACCCGTCCTGTCGAGGAGAAAAGTGTGATCTCTGAGGAACGAACCGAGGAGGAGGTGCTAGTGGCCAAGCCCCCCCGGGCTCAGTCCTTCCCTGCACACCACGCCGAGGAGCAGTTCATTGCCGGGGTTCCCAACGAGCTACTGTTGCCTGGAGCGATTGTGACCTTGGCCGCGGTGATTGCGGGTGTATTCATCCTAGGCCGGGCTACTTCTCGGTGAAATCCAAGGTCGTGGTTGCGTACGAAGATAGAAAGCTATATGTAATTATGTCTCTTTACTTTCCTGTTTGTCTAATGTTTGTCATAGCCCATCTCGTATCTGTGTAACTCTATTGGCGATCTTTCTGGGGTTTTCTCTCCCTTCTTCTTTCTCTTCCCGATTTGACATCTCGCAAATTGAGGGTATTGTTTGGCGCGATGGTACCCTGGTCAAAGTGCGCACGTAGTGTTAGATTCCCTGATTCACATCCGCATGGTGAAGTTTCTTTGGGCTGAGGTAGATTTCAGAAGCGAGGTGAAAAGAACAAGAACAAAGACGAGAAGCGGCTTGAATTGCTGAGTGGACATTGTAATATCAACCAATGGAGGTAGTAAATAGTACTCATCTGCGCATAATTGTGCTGATGATCTGCCGATTGAATGCTGAGCTGGTTGCCTGGGATGCCTGAACCGATGCCTGAATGGGCAGATCAGTGCCTGGAGAATCTAGGCTTAGTCCGGACTAGGACTAGCCCGTTGGCAGTCCACCGTATTGTAGTACTACTCTGTATTGTTTGCTGTTTTCGATTTTTACCACTGCATTAGTGGATGAATTATCCCACTGGATACGGGACCAATACCAATTGTACACTTCCCCCTCCCCCCCTCCCTCTCTCTTTCTTCACTTTAGTGACTTTACCCAACTAAACCTCTTTCTTGTCTCTCTCTCTAAGGCTTTCTTCCCCTTTCAACTTTCCCCTCTTCTTCCTCTTTTCTCTTCCTCCGTTGCTTGGTGTCCACCTGCCGTTTTCTGATCGGCTGCAATGCTGAGTTGCGCTTTTCTTTTTTAATTATTCCAGAATCAATATTCAGTCCACGATCTTTGCTTGAAGGCTTCCGACCGCCTTCCCTCCAATCAACCTGTCACGAACTTTTTTTTCGCTGCCGCCCCCCCACCAAAAACAATATTTCCCAGAGAGCCTAAACAACCTCCTTCCTTCCCACCTTAACCCACCCCCAACCCGACACCACACAACCCCCCGGGTTCAAGCGCTGAACCCGCGTTCTTCTATACCTCAATCTAAGCAGTTTTGGCGGGTTAACTGTCTAGATTGATTGAATCCAGTCCGTTAAAATGTCATTGCTCCCTCCCGAGGTCCACTCGGCTCTCTCGCAGCTGTTGCGCGCCCTCTCTACCCCCGACAATGCGGTCCGTACCCAGGCGGAAGAACAGTTGAACAATGATTGGATTCAGAACCGCCCTGATGTTCTGCTGATGGGCTTAGCGGAGCAGATTCAGGGTGCGGAGGATGTCTTGGTAGGTGTTGCGCTATCCGGAACAAAGAATACAACGGGTGGGCGGGCTGGATGTGTTTCCATCCGTCCAGATCGTGTATTCAGCCATGCGGTCTATAGGTCCCAAATGCTCATCGTTCGTCTTCTCTAGACCCGCTCCTTCTCCGCTGTTCTGTTCAGAAGAATGGCGACCAAGACCCGCAAAGATCCCATTTCCAACGAGGCCAAGGAGCTCTTCTCGACCCTGACCGGAGAACAAAGATTAATCATCCGGCAAAAGCTGGTGACTTGCCTGACGAGCGAGTCCGTCACCGACGTTCGCAAGAAGATCGGAGATGCCGTGGCTGAGATCGCCAGACAGTACACCGATAACGGTATGCACATTGTTTGATGGGAGAGGGTCCTGTTTACTTGCT